TTCTCACGCTGCCCTTTGAAATTTTCTGTGCAACACTTTGACTTCAATATCTTCCATTTGCCTAGCTACTCTACAATTAAGAGCAAGTTTCAGAGTCTGTTCTGACATAATTTTGATGTTTTCTTCCTTGCTTGTCTTTTTAAGGACCTTTTGCTCTTTTTCTGAATGATATGCCTGATGTCCTCCCACATCTCAGCAATCCTTATGTCATTAGTGTTCAGTGCAGCAAATCTATTCTTGAGATTTCTCAAAATTTAGGTGGAATAAACTCAAGGTCATGTTTTGGCTCTCATGGCCTTGTTTTAATTTCCTTCAGTGTTATCCTGAACTTACATATAAGCAATTGATGGTCTGTTCCAAAGTCAGCCCTTTGCTTGGTTTTAGCTGGTGATGTTGAGCTTCTCCATCATCTCTTCCCACAGATGTAGTTAGTTTGATTTCTGTGTATTCCATCTGTCTATGTGTATAGTCACTGTATGATTGAAAAAAGGTATTTGCTATGAACAAGTCATTGGTTTTGCCAAATTTTATCATACAATCTCCAGCTTCATTTTTATCACCAATTCCATATTCTCCAACTCATGTTCTTTCCTCTTTGTTTCCAACTTTTGTATTCTAATTTCCAATAATTATCAATGCATCGTGAGTGCATGCTTGATTGATTTCTGGCTGAATTCATTGGTAGAATTTGATTTCTTCACCATCAGCTTTTGTGGTTTGTGCACAAAGTTGAATAATAGTTGTATTGATTAGATTTCCTTAAAGGCAGATATATATATATATAAAATGTTATACAGCATTGTACTTCATGATTGATTTTGAAATGTCCTTTTTTACAACGAATGCTATGCCATACCTCTTCATTATGTTATTCCCTGCATAGTAAATCATATGATTTTCAGATTCAAAATGGCCAATGCCAGTCTATTTCAGCTCACTAATGCCTAGAATATTGAATTTTATTGAGTTGCATCTCATTTTTGACTGCTCCAATTTCCCTAGGTTCATACTTCATACATTCCAAGTTCTGAACATTAGCAAATTTCTGAAGCTGTTTCTCCTTACCTTGGGTAGTTCCCCATCAACAAATGAAGATTCCAAGGGCTACACTCCTGTAGGCTTTACTCCATTAATATCACCATGATTGAAAGGCAGCTCCTTCTCAGTCACATTTTGAGTGCCTTCTGACCCGAGAGGCTCATCCTCTGGCACCATCTCCAATATTCTGCTTCCATTCATGCAGCTTTCAGTATCTGATAATGTTAAAATACTATCCATAAGGTTTTCAGTGCCTACTTCCTCCACAGTGGACAGCCATGCCCTTCTTCATAATCTGTTCTTAGTCTGGAAACTTCACTGAAACCTGTTCACATTGTGGGTAGTTACAATAGCAGTGACAGAGCTTCCAGCTACGCAACAACACAAAAGTCACCACAGTACTAAAAACTGACAGACAAGTAGTGGGAAGAAATCATTGGTCTTGGGAAGATTCTTTCATACAAACCTTAGCTTCATTTCTATCACCAAAGCCATATTTTCCCATTACTGATCCATTCATTTTGTTTTCACATTCTAGTTGCCCATAATTATCAATGCAACTTGATAGTGTAGTAGTAGAGGAATTTTCCAGTCGTCATCCAGTTGAGTCTAATCTATGGTCAGAATAGAACTGTCCTCTGCGGGCTTTCAATGGTTGGTTTTTCAGAAGTAAATCTCCAGGTCCTTCTTCGGAAGCAACTGTGGATGAACTCAAACCTCCATTCTTTCATTTAGCCTGGTATTTAGCAGGGCCACCAGAAGAGAATCACCTCATCTCGCTGCCAACAGGTTGATGCTGACTCATAGTGACTCGATGAGTAGAACTGCCCCTGTGCGTTTCTAAGACTGTAACTCTTTACAGAAGTAAAGGAACAACAACAAAATCCATAAGACATAAGGAAGATAAATACCATTACATTTAAATAAATTATATACTCCAATAAAACGGCAGAGATTGGCAGTATTTTTTTAAGCATTATCCCATTTATGTTATCTATATGTTAGGAAATTGTCAAAATGTAAATTGTTAAAGAAAGTCATGGCAAAGGTTACATATGTTTTATTTATTTACCTTGAATCTAGAATGACCTTAATTTCTAGTGTGTCCATATTTTTTACACTCACAATTTTTATTTCTCTTAAATGTTAATTTTCCAGGATCATGGATCAGAACAGTGAAGGAAGTTTGAAAAAGACTGGTGGTGTGAATCTTGACAAACTTCTAAGTGACTTCTCACAGATAGAAAAGGTATGCAACCAGCTGGAATATGCAAGAAGGGATGGCATTTCATCAATTCTTACCAAAGGGAGGAATTGGAAAGAAGGAGAAATATATAAAATAATGAGCAAGATAAAGATACTGAAGATGCATTGTTACATCATCTCTCACCTTTAAAAAATTGTATTTGTTTAAAATCTATATGCCTTTGATTACTTTGTACTAATACTCCAGAATATTTCTGAAGCAAGGAGATAAGTAATCGATATATTTTGTTAAAGGTAAAGAGAAAATACAACATAAATTCTCAGGATGTCAATAACTCAGAAATTGGTTTTGTAAGAAGTAAAATGGACTCAATCTCTTACCATTATGACTAACTCCAACATCTATTTTAAGCCTTCCTATTCTATCTATCCTTTTCCTTACCCTTCTTTTTACTAATAGCAGACCTATTTGAAGTCACACACGCACGATATATTGTCTGATAAACCAAACTTATAAATACACGTTGGGGGGGCTGTTCCCAAATTCTCTTGGAAGAAGAGTAGGAAAAGCTGTTGAAAAAAAGTAGTAGATAAATGAGAAATTTGGGAATTGAGTATGTGAGTGAAGGTGGGTGGGGGAATAACTACTACCTCTACCTTTTCTCTTTATCTTATAATTCTTCTCTATTGCTTATTTTCCTTTGCCATAACAAAATAGTTTTACAAGAATTTGTATTTTGAGGTAACAATATGTGCATTTTTCTAAACAATAGATATATCTGTTCTTAATAAAGCGACTCTTACTATAATAATATAGATTTCTAAAGACAAAGATAATATTAGACTTAAAAACTCTAAGAAAGAACTTCAGAAATAAAATGATAGGACAAACCTTGATTGTAAAAAAAAAGTCCTTTAAAATTTAATAAAGTGAAGTTAAAAGTTAATAAAGTAAGGTATAACAAAATTAAAAAGCTTATCAGCAGCTATTTTTTTAAATAGGAAAGTTCCCACTCACCATGCTCTTTGAAAAGTGGCAACACCTACTTCTAGAGATAGCATGAGGAGAAACATCACTGCAAAAATCTCTGATCAATCCTACTAATATCCTAACTCAATTTGGAAGAAAGGAAACTGAGAAACAGCCACCTGACATCACTGAGGAGAAGGTCTTTATCCCCATACTAAGTCATTAGAGAGGGAGCAAATATTTCTCATGATTTACTATTTTTTTTATCCAGACTGGAGTTTAAGATTTTTTTAAGTCATAGCAAAACATTAACTAATTATTGCTGGCAATAAATAGTAATTTGACAACAACATATTTTTTCAAAAGCTAGCAGGTAATGTCAGAACCCTTGAGATAGACTGAGGATGAATAGACAAAGAGAAAGAACCATTCAAATTCTCCTCTCCACCTCTGGACACATTGCATTGTTAGAGCAATCCCACAACCATGTCTTGGGTTTTCCTTCCACTACCTAAGGAGAAGAAGGAGCCATGGTGGTGAAGTGGTTACGTGTTGCACTGTGATCCGCATGCCACATGGTGAGCAGTTCAAAACAACCACTGCCACTCTTCCAGAGAAAGACTGGGCATTCTATTGTTGTTAACAGTTAACAGTCTCAGAAACTCATAAGGGACCAATATGAGCCAACATGGACTGGAAGGTAGTGAGTTTGGTCTGAGTTTTTGCTAGGAGAGGAGTAGAAATAGCTGTTGAAAATAAATCATAGATGGATAAAATAAAGTATTGGGAAATGAATTGGTAAAGCTAGGTTGGGAAGAGAATAATATCTAGGATTCATTGTTAGAATAATATCTAGGATACATGACTTCAATTTTTAAATGGGAGAATTATTAAAAGCCTAAGCATAATTCCAAGAAATATGATATACACATAACTAGGTGAAATGCCCCTAGATTCATAACTTTTAACAATAAAAAACCCCAGGATGTCCATTGATCATCACGACAGATGTTTAGAAAACATAAACCAGCCATCAGACTGATACTCTGCAAGGAACATTACAGTTCTCAGATAATGCAGGACAAAATGAAAAGAAAGTACACAGAGGGTCCAGATAGAGCTGCCCATAGTAATTCAATTTAGATGAAAGTAAATAGCATGGCTATCACATGAAATGCTATAATAAAAATCATTTTTAAAATCATAGGCAGAAAACAGATGAAAAATCCACTCCAAAAAGCATTCTACCCTTTTAAAAAATAAAAATGAAGAAATTTTCCCACAATGAATGATTTTCTCTTGAAGAAGTTAATATTTTCATGACACCAATGAATAATAAATAAAAAATGGGATGCTGATAAGTGAGTTTGTGACTATAAGAAAAACAATTATAGGTCAAAGTATCATAATTCTAACACTAGGATTAGTGGAAGCTACAAGAAATCCAATCAGAAACTAAATGAGTAACATGAAAAGTTGCTGTGTAACAGAAATTGCAAAGGAAAAAAAATAAACATTAAATGACACAGATGATATATGGACAATAAACAGAAAGAAAGAAAGAGAGAAAGAAAAGGAAAGGAAAGAAAGAAAGAAAGATCTACCCTTGAGTTGATTCAGACTCATAGCAACACTACAGGAGAGAGTAGAACTACTCTTTTGAGATTCTGAAACGTTAAATCTTTAGGGGACAGAAAACTTCATCTTTCTCCTTCAAAGCCACTGGTGGAGTTGAACTGTGGACCTTTCAGTTAGTAGCTCACCTACACCACCAGGGCTCCTGCATATGGATTGTAGAAAACAATAGAATAGATAAGTGTCCATGAAAAGAAGATTTCACTGTATTTACAGGAAAAAAATACAAATATAACAGAAAATTCCTCTGATATGAACTGCATAATCAGTAGAACGGACACATTCTGTATAAATTTATTCCAGTAATCCACAGTGAGGCATACTTAGGTTAATAAAAATTTATATTCCTCTAAAGTCAAGGTAAATCAGGCTGGCCTTGTGTTTCTTTTTAACAGCTGTCACAAGTCAAAATAGCAAAGGCTATTTGGAGACTTAGGAGGAAAAGTGTTAGGTAGAATTATCTATCCAGTTAAGGTGTTAATTTAGAGGGGGAAAGCAATAGACGGGCATTGTAAACTACTTTAAAATTGGGGGATATAATGCTCAACAATCTATTGTATTAGTAGCTCTGTAGTTCCCTTTATCTCTTTTTATTGTGTTATGTCACCTTTGGTATGATCTCTAATTTTTTTAGAGTACAAAATATTTTTATGGAACAAAAATTTTTCACTACTAGCTTTCCTATAAAATGTCAGAACAGTTTAGCAGGTCCACCTTCACCATCATGATTTAACATTGTCCTGGAAGCAAGGATCCATGAAAACAAAGAAATGAGTGGCACTGCTGATGGGAAATTACTTGGATTAAAATGTTTAAGTAAGAAATTGTACATTTTCAGATCAATAATGGTATTGTGATCATATTTTAGTTACATTTCTTATTATTTAGTCTGTTGATAATGAGAGTTCTTACTAGTGCAATAATGATTAATATTATACCATATACTTAAAAATATGGAAATATTTACAATTAAACCCA